ACAATATTTTTAACAAAGCTACAAATTCTCCTTTTCCAACAGAGGAAATCCAAACTGAATTGTACATTTGATTCAGAGAAAGATGGTCATCTCCAGCAGACAAACGCTTCTTCCTTCTTCCCCTCTCCTTGTCGTAACGTAAAGTGTATTCTGTACATAATTTACAAATAAAACATTTTATTTTAATTGTTACTTATTATTTAGACTTCAACATAAATTTGTACAATAAAGACCATGTAAGGGTATGTTTTTAGAGGAATGGAAGTTTCCATAACCCACAGGACATCTGTGATCTTTCCACAGCAGCTTCAGTTTTGTGCCAACATTCCATGTATTTGAAAATGAGTAAAAACTGATCCCTATTAAACAGAAGCAGACCGAAAATAGCTGTTTGTACGCCTTAATGTTCATCTTGATTTATTTTAAATCTTTCCATTTAAAAATGGGGTATTCTGTTATCTGACCAGGAGACACCGCTGTGAGAGTTTACTGTTCTGAAATATCAACTTAAAATAAAGGATATAAAAGAAAATATAGACAACCATTGGACTGTAATTACTTCAAAGTAATTTTGCTGTTTGATTTTCTATCTTGCATACATTAGTTACAAATCATAGAAAAGCCTTGCTTACTTAGAGCATAATCACTCTGCAGTTTTATTTTTCTTGTTGGCTAATAATGAGTATTAAATGACTTTGCTCAGTCACTGAGCATTTTGTTTTGTAGATGAAACAGGTAGAGTAGGACTTTCCCTCATCTATGTGTCTGACTAAAAATGGTAAACTCTTGGCATTGTGAAAAATGTACTTCCTGTATATTGACACATCTTATGCTATGTGATTTGATCACTTCATTATTGTATTCTTTGTAAATGGGCAGAAGTGTTAGTGAAACACTGCGAGGCTGCAGTCATTTTAACAAGTTTTTTCTTTGCAAAGATTCATTGAGTTTAGTGCCTAGGTATCTTCCTTTAGATTTGCAAAGCTCTGCTACTTTATTTTCATAGTAGAATATAATTATTGTTTCTGAGATGTTAGGGTTTTTAATGCCAGTACTGAAATGAACTCTGAGCCTCTCACGGCTTTTTCTGTCTGACTCTTGAGTCACAACTCCACCTCTGAAGATAATTGCTGGTTAACTAGAAGTAAGAGTCTCAGATTTGTCTGGGCTTATTTCAAACAACACCCCAGATCTCAGCCTTCTAAATAGTTATGATTACAAGCATGAGCCATGGGCACCCGGCTCTGAGTTTCTTATTAGTAACAATACCTATTTTAGAGTATGAAAATAGTATCAGAAGTGTTTTACAGAAATAAAATTGGGGGGCTGGGAAGGTGGCTCAGTGGTAGAGTGCTTGCCTTGCATGCATGAGGCCCTGGGTTCAATTCCTCAGCACCACATAAACAGAAAAGGCTGGAAGTGGTGCTGTGGCTCAAGTGGTAGAGCACTAGCCTTGAGCTGAAGAGCTGAGGGATGGTGCCCAGGCCCAGAGTTCAGGCACCATGACTGGCAAAAGAAAAAGAAAAAAACAAAATTGGTTTTGTTAACCTTTATTACTCTTGGTAATAGTCAAGCACTCAGTATTGAAAGTTCTCTATATTACAAGTACATGTGGAGCATGCAGACAGGAGGTCAGTTTCTTGTTGATATGTGTGGATTCTGCAGAATGTTGGTAAAAACTTCTAGAAATGTTTGGTGAATCTCTGGGAGAAATCTTATTAAGAATAATGTGGTTAAAAAGTGAGCCAGAAGCCAGGCCCTGGTGACTCACACCTGTAATCCTAGCTACTCAGGAGCTTGAGATCTGAGGATTTCGGTTCAAAGCCAGCCCAGGCAGGAAAGTCCATGAGACTCTTATCTCCAGTAAATTACAAAAAGCCAGAAATTGTGGTGTG